TCCATGAAATAACTATCAATTTTTGTTTTTACTTGCTTCCGGATATGAAAGGACCTGCAGTTTACATTTTAACTTAAATGTCTAAAGGTTCTATACAATGAGAGGGGAAGAGAAGATAGAGGAGTTATATCCGATCTAAAGAAGGCCCAACTTATCTAAAAGTAGTCAGAGTCCCATCAGCCATGAAACCACAGGATTGAGGTAAGAATTCACTAACTAATATTATTTTGCTTCGCAAAGTAAGCAATCTCAAACCTGATAATTCATTTCTAGGTTCAGGATTACATTTGGCACCTACCTTTCACCGGCAATTCATCAACAAGGCTATTTCTAGTTGTGAGCACTTCCTTTTGTCCACAGATTTCCTCGAACTTTGTGTGAGGTCCCCAATTGTGACAGCTATTGTAATTGTTTTATACGGATCTTAGTCACTTAGATTCTGCATTCTGTGTTAGCTCAGCGGAATAGCTTATAGAACGCGTGTAAAGATTGGAACTATTTAGACAGTTTAGTTCTTAGATGTTCCAACATTTCAGTATGATATTTCAACTGCAAGTCTCTGTACACTAACTTTTAAGTGGAGACCTCAGAAAGGCAAAACAATGAGACTGATGTTTCATTGTTGAATGCTGAAGTATCAATTACTTCATTTAGTCCATCTTTCTTTTGTAACAATGACTAGCGAAGGTTTTGTTGGCAGATAAATTGAGACCTTCCATCTGGACTTTCCATCAATCCATCATATTCCTCAATCAGACAGATGTTTGCATCTGCACAAGTCTTCATTCATCTCCACCATTTACTTAATGTTGATGATTCCCATATTTAATTTAACTGAATGGTACACACTACATGACCAACTACGTATTCTAGAACTGAAATTGCTAGTTCTTTTCGTGGGCGCTCCACCATTTCAATAATTGTCTCTTTTCCTGGTGCAAAACTTGGAAAGAGAGACATCTGGAGAGAGGAAATTTCTAGTTTTAACTTGGTGGGGATTTTGCTTTACAACTCGCAGCAACAACTTTTGATTGTTACCCTTTTGCTGGTTGATTAGTAGCTTCATTATAACTTTTCTCTCTGACTTTTTCCTGTTTAAGTTTCTAAGCTCATAATAGCTGACCTTCTCCATTTATCCTAATAAGACAAGTGTATGAAGCAGATATTAAAGAGTGACAGCTTGAATTTGAACTTTTATAACTGATTTCTCTAAGCTTTACAAGTGTTTACATAATTTTTCATAGCGGATTGGACCCATTCATGGAAAGTCGAATTTTGCTTACCAGTTCAAGCCCATTAGGGTCACTGTCCAAGAATTCGGTACTGTGTTTGCTTTTGGTGCTTACTGTCAGCTTCTTGATCTTTTTTTTTTTTTCTGTTTCATCTTCTCATATATGGTGCCAAAGTACAGGGGATTTGAGTTGCAAATTTATTATGCTCCTTACTTTGATTTTATGTGAATTTGAGAGGGTCGGTAACTTGGTGGTTAACATGCCTTGACTTGCATTATAAAAGCTCTCACTTGGGAAGATGGGCAATGCCAGGTTCTTGTTAGAATTTTGCAGACTATGTTTACCAACTTCGTAAAGTTGTCTTGGAGCAACGGTAAAATTGTTTCCATGTGACCGGTTCGAGCTGTGCAAGCAGCCACTAATGCTTGCATTAGGGTAGACTGTCTACATCACACCCCTTAGTGTGCGGCCCTTCTCCGTACCTTGCATGGATGCGAGATGCTTTGTGCACTGTAACTTCCTAGAATTTCTTTGGGTGGGATTGGTTAATTAATTCCTTAATCTGATAGTCTTGAAGATGAGTGGAGTTTGTTTGAAGCTTAAAACTTTTATATTTATTTGGTTCCGACTTGAATAAAACTAAATCGACCCAGATGTAAATTAAAATAAATTTTGTTCTTATTATTTCTAAACTATTGATAAACAATGTAGTATGGAACTATCTTTCTATTTAAGTTATTTGCACTGAGATTTTGAATCACGACTGATAACAACTTTTAAACTTGAAATTGAGATTTGTATAGTGACATGTTGGAGTCTTCAACTTCTGAAAGTACCTAATAGAAAATATGTTGGTGCCCATTGCATCAATGTGTAAAGTGTCATTTAGACAACATGCATCTTAAATGATGTTTGGACAGGTTTATAAGTTGGTCAATTGAGTGTGTAGAAGCACTTTTTGGCTTATCTATACATTTGTTCAACATAAAAATATTTGCAAGTTAAGTATTTATAAGCTAAAGTTAGTCAAATATCACAAGTTTGCCACTAGCCACTTATACTAGTTAAAAACACTTTTGGTTTGATCAAGATTTTTATTATTTTATTTCTAATATTTTTTCAAATTCCAAAATACCTTACAGAACAAAGTCCTTAATTCTTTCATTCAACTTTCGTTGTTCGTTCTTTTTCATGTATAAATACTTTAAAAATCCTAAGTTCATTTCACTCACTTTAACAAAAAAAATAAAAAATCTTCAAACATGTAAATAATTATTTATAATTATTATCACTTGATGCTCAATTGCTCATCAATTACTTTTAATCAGTTAAACATACTCCTTATATCGTCACTTTATTGCATGGTAATCTCTAATAAAAGTAATCAGTGTACAACTCAAAGCGCTATTGATTAGAGGAACACCAATTAAATAATAATGCTTTTGATAACTCCAAGTGGATGACAAATATTGGAAGTCACCCTACCATTTCTTCCAAGTAGCCAAGCAAAAGTTAACGAAATAAATAAGAAGCTGAGTGCTTTTCCCCCAGATTTTGAGTCTGGTTTTGTGCTTTTTAATCAAGTTGTACGTATTCTTACTAGATACATATGACTAGAGCATTTACTTTATTTGACAGCTTCTTAGTGCGTTTGAACCAAACATTGGGGTTCTTACAAGTAGTTTAGTATCCCAATTGCTCATAAACCTGACCTGGCAACTTAATCCAATATTGCCTAGTAAGCAAGTTCATATCCCCTTGTTAGAACAACTGCAACACCAACAACAATGATTAAATTCTAAACAAGTAGAAGTCGATTATATGTATTTTTGGGCATAAATTTCTTTGATAAGGTTAAGAGACTCCTAAAAAGCATAGGGTTTTAAGTAAACATATTATCATGAACATATTCTTAAATTATGTGCTTATAGATATTCTTTTTTATTATGTCCTATCATTCGCTATTTCATATCACCTTGTTAGAGATATATAATATTGTGACACCCTAGACAAACACATCGACAAAATACAGAAAATATGTTGGTTATATAAGTAAATAGGTCTCGTATCCTAGTGACGTGTTTTAAAGCCGTGCAGGCCTAGGGCCAAAGCGGATAATATCACTAGAGGGCTGGGCTGCCATATGGTATCAGAGTCACTCCGCGTGCAACCTTGAATAGTGGTGGGGCAAATTAAACCTCAGCAAGGACCTTGAGGTCCTAAGAGAATCCCACGTCGACAAAATACAAGAAATATGCTGGTTATATAAGTAAACACACTTCATACCCTTGTGACGCATTTTAAGGTCGTGTAGGCCTAGGCCCAAAGCGGACAATATTACTAGAGGGTTGTGCTGTTACATATATTATGTGACATCCTAGTTGAATCTCACAGCGACAAAACACGAGAGTGATGATGGGTATATCGACATGCCTTAGACTCTAGTGACGCGTTTTAAAGCCGTACGGGGTTAGGCCAAAAACAGACAATATCACTAACATGTTGGGCTGTTACAAATATTATGCAACAATCTCCTAAAATTGTTTATAATTGCTATGGGCTGCTTCACCCGTTACCTTAATGGTTTAATATTTGTATCATTCACACCTGCAATCTCATTATCTGTTTTCACCTTTAAGTTCTAAGCAAGTATATATACCATTTGGATTTAGTTGAATGAGTTGCACAAAATTTGTAATCTGGCTTTGAGCCAAATGTCTATTGGTTCAAGTTAATTTGGCTTGTAAAAATTTTAAACAAATAGTTGGGAGGGATAGGATTTCGTGGGCAATCGTCATGATTACGTTTTTCATAATGTAAATTAGTACAAGATGTTATGACATAATCAAGGGTTAAATTATCTTATTACAAAGTCCAGTAATACTTTTCTTCCATTTTTTCTTTTTATGATTTTATTCCTTAGCCGCCACACTACTGATTCTAAGACGCATAGGAGGATAAAGAGGAAGAAAGCAGTCTGGATATTGGCCACCTATACTTTCCTCTGCACTAGCTTAACCAATCAATTCAATATAGTATTATTCAACAGGGATCTACATTATATACATTGATAGTGTAATTTTTTTTTATTATCACTTTATTCTAATTATATGTTAATACCAATTAATGCTTACATATTCTAGAAATTTACCTATAATTAACTTAAGTGACCTGTAAATAGTTTTTAAAATCATCAATGCATAGAACTTAATTTCGTCTAATAATAGTGACTTCTAATTATAAATGTTTTTCTGTCATGTGAGATGGATAAAAATAAAAATAAAAAAAATTAAAAAACAGAAAATGAAATAAGACGTAAGTATAATTCTTCCAATGTCGATGGTGGATATACACATTAGTTTAGATTATAAGAGGTGCAAGTAAAGATATTTCTTCTTGTCGCTAATAGTATATAGAACTGGAGGTGCTATGGTAGCTAAAAGTTACACAATGAGTTAAATAATTGGAAAATAAATGTTTAGTACGAAATAATTAATTAGATATACCTTGTTATTTGCATAAAATATAAATTATGCCTTTTGTACTTTTCATACTATATGGCATGCCATTAATTTGGAGTAAAGAATGATGAAATGGTCTTTTGGAGTCAATACAGATGTCTTCTTCTACATAAAATAATGTATCAAGTCTAAGTACTTAACCCCCATCTTCCACTTGCAATTCCCTACTCCTTAGTGGAATAAATCATGTAGAAAAAGAATAATGCATAAATTAACAAAAATGGCCTCGTTGGCTGCTTCCAATAGTTCAAAACTTCAACTATATATATAGCCGTTTCATTTCATCACTTCACATCCCACTTCTTACTTAGAATCTTGATTGATATTCCTTTTGGATATTTGTCTAAGTAGGTTTGAACTTTAGCATTAGATATGAGTTTAGTAGCACTCAAAAACCACTGCATTTTTCTACTAGTGACACTGATTTTTCCTGCAATTTGCTATTGTGAAGAAGCCAATTCCCTCTACACTAGAGCAACCTATTATGGCAGCCCCGATTGCTATGGAACCCCTAGTATGTATTTTATTTCTTTTTTAACATTCTCTTCTTATTATCTGCACTAGCATTTTTTTCCCTATAAAGTACTGATAGACGTGGCAAACGTGGTGGCTTAGCCACATATAGTAAAATGTGTTCAATTGAACATCCTTCGTCAGAAAGTTACAACAAGTATATAAAAAATTATATTATGTATGTAGGTCAAGTAATTGTCTCCGTGTGACTTATAAGTCACGAGTTCGAGCAATGAAAGCAGCCACTAATGCTTACGTTAAGATAGGCTATCTACATCATATCCCTTGTGGGTGCAACCCTTTCCCCGACCGTGTGAATGCGGAACGATTTGTCCACCGAACTGCCCTTTTTATATAGGTCAAAAATTACTTTTAATAGATATATATTAAACATTGAACATCTTTTGCAAAATTCTTGGCTCCGCCAACAATCCGGTGTTTTAGGTTGAATTTGGGCGGGTTAAGAATGGGTTAAAACAAAATGTTACTAACATATTCATATATTTATAAAGCTAAAAAAATAGGATAGATGATAAATAACTAATCCGGGGGATACATGAAAAGAAGTATGGGAAGTTAAATACAAGTTGCTCATAGTTAGAAGAAGAGCTCACAGTTCCATAACTCGTATTGTATTTGTGTGTCTATAAACCGGAATTTTACTTATATTATGGTACAATTAAGGTTATAAGGTAATTAAAAATGTTGTTACAAAATATATAATACAGGTGGAGCATGTGGATTTGGTGAATATGGGAGGAAAATTTATGATGGGAAAGTGAGTGGAGTTTCTAGGCTCTACAGAAATGGAACTGGCTGCGGTGCTTGCTACCAGGTATTAATTATATATCCTTTTATGCCACTTGTCTTTTTTCATATGCGTTCGCAAATAATTAAAACCATCCAATTGCACTTTGTTTTTGATTAGTCATTGGCTAATCATATACTATAGTAGCTATACTAAACATAATCCTTTCTGTTTTGAACTGTTAGAAAGCGATGAAAATGACACCCACTTAACCATCAAAATGGTGGAAAAGGGAAGTTTTTTATTTTTGGTGGAATTTTTTATTTAAAATTTGGAAATCAAAAGATTAGTTCATGCATGATTACATTCTTATTTGTAATTTCTGGTAAATTAATTATGATCAAAGTTAGGGAAGAGAAGCACAAAAAAAATAAAAATTAATTTTATATTTCCCTCACAAATTTTTATCTTTTCGAGATAGGAGTTGTAGTCTGGTTGTTATAACACTGTCTTTTTAATTCCACGAAACCATCAAAAAATTTAAAAAACAACCCAAAAAGAAACAAAAATTTTCATTTCCTATATTATTTTTGTACTTTAGTTTCCTATATGTTGATATTCTTCATTTTATTTTGATTTTGTTTCTGTAAATTACAAACTGTAGGTTAGGTGCAAGGTATCAGGTCATTGCACAGACGAGGGCACAAAAATAGTAGTGACAGATTATGGGGAAGGAGACCATACAGATTTTATACTAAGTGTACGTGCCTATTCAGAAATGGCTAGTCCAGGAATGGCTAGTCATTTATTGGCCTACGGAGTTGTTGACATTGAATATCGCAGGATTCCTTGCCGTTACTATGGTTACAATTTTATGATCAAAGTTCATGAAAACAGCAGGTTTCCTAACTATTTGGCCATTGTCCCAATCTATTTAAGTGGTGCATTTGACGTTCAAGCTGTCGAAGTTTGGCAGGTAAGTCCTACATATATATGTGTCTGGTTGTTTTTAGACCACTTTAGTAGTAGTACCAGTAATAATTAATGATAGGCTATGGTGCATTCCCTAATAATTTACTGAACTTTATCCACTATATATAATAATAACGTTACAATTTTTTTTGGTTACGTTAAAGTAACAAATTTTGCATGAATTACTCTAAAAAAATCAAATATTTCGACTTATCAATCCATAGATTCCGATAGAAAATAAATAGGAACTCAAAACAAGTACATGTTCGAAAATCATTAAATAACTTCTTATCAACTGAAATTGTAACAAATAGTAGATATGAACTTACCTTTTAGTCCGCACCAGAAATTATTTACATTCGGTAGATGAAAAAGTATATAAATATTATAATAGGTTCATTTCTAAGAATCTTTTGATGATAATGATAACCGGGGTTCACTGCTAAAAATCTTGAAGGTGGAGCTTTGCTTGATTTTGTGCAGGCTGATTGCAAGGAGTGGAGGGGGATGAGAAAGGCATATGGAGCAGTATGGGACATGCCAAATCCACCAACAGGATCACTCACATTCAGGGTTCAACTGAGTTTCTCTGCCTATGGGGAGGTCAAGTGGGTGCAGCTCGCCGATGTTCTTCCCGACGAATGGAAGGCTGGCATTGCTTATGACACCAACCTTCTGCTCGACTAAATTCCCCATAGAGAACTACTTAGGCACTAGGCTTGGCTTGCTTTTTCTACTTTAATTGTTTTCATTTTCTTTTCTTCAATGTAATGTGATTGCATTCTCCTTTAAGTGTTTTACCTAAAGATATATATATATATATATTCATCGAATAAACGATACTCAGAAGATTAAGAAAATTGTGATGTTGTATGGGCTGTATAGGCGATGAATTGTGGTGATATAAATAAATAAATAGTGAGATTTTTAATAATCTTTTTTCTTTTTTTATAATACATATCTAAAGTTTTAGCTTGTATAATGAGAATCATTTCAAGAGTTATTCCTAGGACAAGAGTGGGTTGCTCTAGTGGTGAGCACCCTCCACTTCTAACCAAGAGGTTGTGAGTTCGAGTTACCCCAAGAGCAAGGTGAGGAGTTCTTGGAGGGAGGGAGTCGAGGGTCTATCGGAAACAACCTCTCTATTCCAGGGTAGGGATAAGGTCTGCGTACACACTACCCTCCCAGACCCCACTAGTAGGATTATACTTGGTTGTTGTTGTATTTCAATAGTTATTCCTATTAGATATATTCATCAAAGAACTTTAATTTTTGACCCGGGCAAAGAACTTTAGGTTCAAAAATTAAAGGATAATCTACGCGGTATGCTTACTGAAAACTCCAGTTAACACGATATATAATTAAAATTAAAATATTTATTTTATCCTGTATACTTATTTTATAAATTTATTTTATCCTATATACTAACTTCATAAATTTATTTTACAATGTATACTAAGTTCTCGGCTGGCTATTTAAGTTAATTCCTTTTTGTTGAAATCCACACCCATTTGATACTTTGTTATTCGGGCTACGTGTTCAATTTATACATGGGCCATTTTTAGACTCATTTTCCATGGGCTAAAATATGAGCTCTAATTCAAATTGGATTTTTTCGTTCCTATATACTATTTGAAACATTATTATCAAATATTGAACATATGAATATACAGACGTCTGAATTACTATACTTTTAATTGAGTGCAGGTTCATCTGATTATTATAATACTAACGTGGTACAATTGTCAAGTAACTGTAACACAATTGGAGAAATATCAGGAACAGTGAAGTTGATTGATATGCAAACATCTCCGGCAATTGTGGAATATGAAAGTATCATCATAACAGAACATACGCCAAATGTAATTGAAGTAGGCCAAGTTTACCAAGACAAGCAAACAATTGTCAGTATAATGAAGCACTGTTCTGTCATGAATAAGTTTCAATTTAAGGTGAAAAGATCTAGTGCAAGAAGGTAGGAACATTTTATTTGTCAAATTCATATTCTGTATAAGTTGTAATTTTTTTGTATATAAATTATTTAAGACAAGTTGTTGTGCATAAATAGCCTCGTATTCTGTAGCTACAATTTGCATAACATTTTTTGAATTATTTTTATTCTGTAGCTACTGCCTCGTATGTGTTGGAGACAATTGTACGTGACACTTTAAGTCCACCAACATAAATGATTCAGCATTGTTCAAGGTTCGAAAATTCAACAGCTTGTACACATGCTCTTTGATGGACAACACATATATACAATGCAAATCTACTGCAATAGTAGTTGGCAGCATGGTGATGCCAAAATATGCGGATCCTAAGATAATATACACACCAAAAGACATACAAACGGACATGTTGTCGGATCATGGTATGAACTTAACATACATGCAAGCTTGAAGAGCAAAGGAAAAGGCTTTGAAATTTTTGAGAGGTCATCCTACTGATTCCTACAGTCGCTTGCTGAGTTATTTGTATATTCTGGAGAAGACTTATCCGGGATCGGTAGTGAAATTGCAAAAGACTGAAGATAACTGTTTCTTGTATGCATTTGTTGCACTTAGTACGTCCATCAAGGGCTGGGAGCATTGTAGGCCAGTTGTAGTAGTTGATGGAACTTTCTTGAAGTCGACATATAGGGGAATCATGCTAATATCTAGCACAATGGATACAACAAGTAATGTAGATTAATTGTAAAACTATTGTTATGAAGTTATTTTTGAGACTGTATTTTTTATATTTTCAAGTTTTATTACAGAAATTAAATTTCTTTGTAACGACCCGTCCTGTCGTTTTGCTTTCTAGATTTCCATTTCCCTAAATAAGACTCTCCGTATGTGCTCTTACTGTTTTATGACTTGCGGGGATGGTAAGTTCTGGATTTGGAAAGGTTCGGGTTAAAATCGGAACACTTGGTTCCTTAGTTTGACTTTTAAAAGGCTAAGTTTGACTTTGATCAACATTTTGAGTAAACGACCTCGGAACCGGGATTTGACGGTTCCAATAGGTTCGTATGATAATTTTGGACTTGGGCGTATATTCTGATCGGGTTTTGGATGATCCGGGAGCGTTTCGGCGCTTAATGTTGAAAGTTGGCTTATTGAAGGTTTAAAAGTTTTTTAAATTTGATTTGGAGTAGATTTTTTTGTTATCAAGGTTCGTTTGGGCTTCTGAGCCTGAGAATAGTTCCATATGGTGATTTAAGATTTGCACGCAAAATTTGGAGTCATTCCGAATAGTTTAGGTATGTTTCGGCGCATTCAGAGTAAGTTGGAAGAATTTGAAGTTCATAAGTTGATTCTATTGGTTTTGGGTCGCGATTCTTAGTTTTAATGTTGATTTCCTCGTTCTGAGGGTGTGAGCGAGTCCGTTTTATGATTTTAAACTTGTTGGTATGTTTGGTCGGGGCCTCGGGGCCCCCGTACTAGGTTTGGAGGGTCGGCGGAGTTTGGTTTCCTATTTTGAGAAGGGCTGCTGGTGCCTGGCATCTGGTGCGTTCGCACCTGCGGTGGGAATGCCGCATGAGCGCAGGTACGACGCCTGGCTCACAGAAAAGGAAAGAGGAAGGGGGATCAGAGTCCGCAGAAGCGGACTCGCTTCTGCGATGTGGGGGATCGCAGGTGCGGAGGGGGCCAGCGTGGGCGAGGTCGCAGGTGCGATGGGTGAGCCGCAGAAGCGGGATCACAGGTGCGGCTCCACGCCACAGGTGCGCCCAGTGCTGGGACTGGTGCCTTCCGAAGAAGCGGACCTCTGTCCGCAGAAGCGGCGCCGCAGGTGCGGCCCAAGGTCCGCAAAAACGGAATCGCTGGAGTTAGTAAGGGCTTTTATTACGGGACTTAGGCCTTTTATCTCACTTTTTCATTTAGTCTTAGGGAATTTTGAGAGATCATTTGTAACGACCCGACCGGTCATTTTGAGCTCTAGCGCGTCGTTCAGCAGTTTGAGGCCATGAGCAATTTCACTTCAGGTATTGTGACTGGTACGCGTGGTCGGAATTGAAATTTTGGAAGTTCAGAGTTCATTTGAAAAGAAAATTCTCATTTCGGAAGCTTTAAGTTGGAAGAATTGACTAAGGTGGGATTTTTTGAGTAAACGATCTCAGAATCAGGATTTAAAAGTTCCAACAAGTTCGTATGATGAATTCGGACTTGGGCGTATGTCCGGATCGAGTTTTGGATGCCCCGGGAGCGTTTCAACACCTATTGTGGAAGTTAGCATTTTGGAAGAATTCCATAAATTTGGGTTGAAGTGCATTTTAATGTTATAGATGTCCGTTTGAAATTCTGAGTCTGGTAATAGCTCCGTATGGTAATTCTGGTATTGGGAGCACGTCCGAAAGTGGATTCAGAGGTCCGTAGGTCATTTTGGAGTTATTTGGCTAAAGTTAGAAATTTGAAGGTTTTTGAGAAGTTTGGCCGGAAGTGGACTTTTTGATATCGGGGTCGGAATCCAATTCCGGAAGTTGGAGTAGGTCCGTAATGTCAAATGTGACTTGTGCGTAAAATTTGAGTACAATCAGACGTGATTTGATATGTTTCGGCTTCAATTGTAGAAGTTGAAGTTTCGAAGTTCATTAAGTTTGAATTAGGGTACGATTCATGATTTCGATGTTGTTTGATGTGATTTGAGGTCTCGAGCAAGTTCGTGTTATGTTATGGGATTGGTTGGTATGATTGGATGGGGTACCGAGGCGCCCGGGTAGATTTCGGATGGTTAACGGATCGAATTTAGAATTTGAGGAAGAGCTAAAGTAGCTGGGCATCTGGGGTAACCGCACCTGCGTGAAGAGGGCCGCAGGTGCGAGCCCGAAGGTGCGGGAGATGACTAGCAAAAGCAGAAGGAGCCAAGGCTGCTGAGAACCACAGTAGCGGAAGGATTTGCGCACCTGCGATGGCGCAAGTGCGATGTCAGTCCGCAGAAGTGGCAAGGGCCGCAAGTCCGGATGGAGCTCCGCAGAAGCGGACACCCAGAAGCGGCCTAAGAGCCGCAGGTGCGAAAATGTCGCTGGGCAGTGGGGTTTCTTTAAAACGGGACTTGGCCCATTTTTCTCCCATTTTCATTTGGTTTGGGCGATTTTGAAGATCTTCAAGGGGAGATTTTCAGCAAGCAACTCAAGGTAAGTGATTCCCCCTTATTATAAGTTAAATACATGGTTTGTATAAGAATTTAAACATGAAAATTAGTAAAAATTGTGGGGGTTTTGGTACAAAACCTAGAATTTGGTATTTTGAATTTTGACCACGAATTTGGGTATGGAATGGTGAATAAATGATATATTTGAGTTCATAATGTTATGTGTAATGATAACCTTCAAAATTTTTTGGAATCCGGGCATGTGGGCCTGAGGGTGATTTTATCAACTTTTCGATCGGGGTTAGAAATTGTTATAAATTGAATTATATTGAGTATTTGAGTATATATTAATGGGTTTGCATAAGCATTAGCTAGTTTTGGAGCAACAGACATCAGTTTGAATTGTCGGAGCGGCCTTGGAGCCGGTTATGGAATTTCAGAGCAAGGTAAGTCTCCTTTCTAACCTTGTAAGAGGGAATTAACCCCATAGGTGAACTAAATTATTGTGTGCTTTTATTTGTTGGGGCTACGTATGCACGAGGTGACGAAAGTCCGTACGTAGCTACTAGCTATGCCTATGTCCGGGTAGTTTTAGGCTCACATCATGCCTTGTTGATATTGTTATTGATTTATGTTTATTGTCTGCCTTGAGAGGGAGCGAGACTGAGTTTGCTTATTAAATGTTTTGAAAGGAGTGGAAATTGAAGAACTTAAGATTTAAAAGGTTTCATTTGAACTTCGGAATTTCGAAAAGGATTGAGTAATGCTATAATAGATTAAGGAATCTATGTGTAACCGCGTCGCACGTATGTTTCACGAGCGGGGTAATTTCCTTAAAAGTTTCAAGTTGAATTTCCCTTA